TTTGTAATAAAAAATTTTAGCTAAAAAAAATCTTCGCTATAATACCAAATTCGGTATATTGAGGTTTGTTATATCAAAGTTATACTGTATTTCTAAACGACAAGCACCATAGCCCACATTGTTACCTAAATTACAAGTTAAGACTAACTCAGTTACCAACTTGGCACCTATGTTTGACCTGCTATTGACCTGCTATAGCAAGATTTCTCTCCTTCAAGACCCCTCCTGCAATTGGATATGACCTGGCTCTTAACAGTGGATCTTGCCATCCATCATGATCACCTCTCTCTTTTTTCAAACTTCTTTCATCTAAGCCCGACAATATAATTAAAACTTTTGCTTGTATATAAAAGTAAAAAAATAAAGCCATGTTTATGAAAAATATAAACATTTTAGAAAAAAAACACCTCATGGTGAGAAAAAAAACAAACTTTTCAACAAATTCTAAAATAGTCTAATATAAATGAACAAAGATGAAAAAAGTGAAAAAAAAAAGAAAGATAGCCATGATACACTATTATAGCCCATACCAGGCATAAAAGTAAAAATTATATAATAATTGCAACTAATTACTATATCTCGATTATAAACCTTTGGTTTAGCTTTGGAACTCGTTCCAGGCACCGACTCAACTCAAGTATCTTCTAAACAGGGTGTATATCTCTTCTCCATACCATAGCTCCATATTTGCAAAACAACAAAACACGTGGTTGCCTTCTACTGAGTTTATTCTGATTTGGTAGATGTAAACAATGCTGATCTTTTGGAGGTGATAAACCAAAAAGCCCACTTTTTGTTGAAAATTTTGGTGAGAATAGCAAAAGATAAAAACAAAAGAGAGACCTCTTGATACCATTTAAAAGAGAGTGAGTTACTAAAAACAACAAAGACAGCCTTCCTCCAGACAGTACACTACTCAAATTTTGTCGGTGAGTAATAAACTCGTCAGCAAGTAGCATATAAGAACTACCTCTAAACGACAAGTGCTGGGTCTGCAATAAGTGATAAACTCTGAAACTGTCAGCAGGTAGCATATGAGAACTATCTCTAAATGACAGTTGCTGTCTTACAGTTCTTTCTTTCTTCAACTTATAAGCTGAGAGGTTGGTTTTTACTGTTTTTGTTAAGTAGTTTTTTCGGAAAAATTTGGACCAAGTGATCATTAGAAAGAGTTGTTTTTAATAATATTGATAATTTATAGTAGTTTCAAATACTAATTATATAATTTTTTATTAAGTGGAAACTTAATAGTATTTAATATAGATGATTTTTACAATATACATAAATATTGTTGTAGCAATTTAATATTAACATATAACATTCTTCACTTCATTACTGTATTACTCAAAGCTCTGTCAAATATAGTATCAATTCTAAATCAATATACTAAAAATTTTCAAGTGTAATGATAACGATTGCATAGTGTAATGATAGAATTCTTCTTTTTAGCTAGCTTTATGTATCATCTTCTTTTTTTTCTTTAACAGTTAAGTCGTGACTATACAGAGCTTTTTTACTATGATAAAACTACATGAAGCATAGCTAACCCACACTAGATACATAACAACTATGAGCTTTAAAACCTTTTATTACTTATTTTACACGTTTACTAGCTCTCGAAACTTATTAGAATTTCTTTTAAAACTATACAACTCAGCTTTTTTTACTTACTTACTTCTTTTGCTACCCTCTAGACTTCAAAATTCTACTACAAGGTTTGACAAAATTAAATCAACAACTAACAATAAAATAACACCACTGTATATTATAATATTTTATTTTCACTGCATGTTGATCCTCTCTTTTTATGTATCATTAGTATATATAATACTTATTTAATCCTATTTTTTTTAGACTTCGCCAGAAAACAGAAATCTTACTCTTTTACTTTAAGTTTTATATTATACTCTTTGATTCTTATCTCTTTTTATTTTTTACTATATTAATACTTATTTTTTTTTGCTTTGAATAATTTTTTTATCATTAGATTACTCCCTGCTAGAACTTTAAATTTCTTATCTTAATCGTCGATATATTGAAATCGTAGCACTAGAACTTACCTCTCTCTCTTATTTTTTTATTTTGCTTTCTTTTTTTAAAAAAAATTTCTACTGATTTTTTTTTCATTTTCCTACTTTTTTCTTTATTAGATTCATCCTATTTAAAATCTTCTTTTCACACTAATTGGTATCTTTATTATCAATTTTCTTCAATCAGTTCTTTCGTACTTGGAGTAGCCCCACTAATAAGCTTTTTTATTATGATATTTTATTGTTATCTCTTTTTTTTTTATTGAAAATTCTACTTTCTTTTTCTCTCCCACTGATTTTTTCTTCATTAGGTTTGTCACCACTAAAATCTTCTTTATCCATATAATTCCTTATCTTTCTTATAAGTTTTCTATTAGCGTTACTTTCATAGTTAGAATTATTACATTGTGACCTTTCTTATTCCACTCTTTTATTATTACCTTTTTTTTTTAATATCCAGATTATTCTTCTTTTCTTTCATTATTTCATTCATATTTAGATCTCTACTAGAACACTTTTCAAATCTTTTCTTATAACTATGTTTTTGTAATTAGAATTATCACACTCAAACCTTAAGTTAACCTTTCTGATTACTCTCTTTTTTTATTATATCTTTTCTATTCTTCTTTTTTTTTTCTATCACTATTTCCTTCAACTTTTTAGACTACGCTACATTCTCTTTAACTATAATTCCAATTCTTGTCTAAATAAATTATTGTAATTATGTGTAATAATAAAGCAAGTGATCAATCCTTATTATTAAATATATTTACTTATATTTTTATTAGTCCATATACGTACAAATTATAATTTTATCCTTCCGATTTAGTAATTTCTTATTAGGCTAATACGTTCAAAGCTCACCAAAAAATGCTGTCGCTATACCATTATTAAAATCTTTGCTCCCGCTATCCTATCATACGATCATTCATAAACTATTATAGTAATCTAATTAACTTTATAAATTTATATTACTTCTAAGCTAATCTAAATATATCAACACAATGAAATGATTAACTTTAATCAGTTCAAATTCAAAAATTCTTTACTCTTATTTAGTTTTTCTTCAATATTTCAAATTTCTAACTTTATTAAACAAATAAATTCAAAGCCTACCGGGACAATGCGATAATATATTTAAAATCTCAATTACTACTATAATATAACACGATAATACGATTTATGATTATCATCGTCTTCTAAGCATTGACCTAAATATATATATTATTCAAAGCATACCGGCACAGCACGATGAAATGATTATATACTATCTCAATCTCAATTGTTACTAAAAGATCTTAAAATATTATTATCATCCTACTCTTAAAATTTTATAAAATTATTTTAAACCCAAGCCTGCCCTACTTAAGTAATTCATATTCAAAGCCAACAATAACCCCAAAATTAAATAATTAAGTACAATCACAATTATCTCTAAATGATCGCAATATATGATTATTGCTTACTCTAATTAAAGTGTATAAATCATCTTAAATCCAGGCATGTCAACACATATCCGAAATAAGCAGAGCTACCAAGACAACAATAACATCTTTGATCTGTTAGAGTTTAATAATCGCCTTATAATTAATGCTAAAAGTACAAATTTACTCTGTGTTTTTACCCCTCATTTAAAATTTTCTCTATCTCCTAAATCCCTAATTATTTAACAATTTTACTTATATTTTTCCTACTCTTCAATTTCAATTTTTATATTATTATAAACTTCTTCCTTTTTTTCTTTTCGATTTTCTTGCTAATATCAACATCAGCTGAAAGTTCTAAAATATCAAAATATCAAAAAGAGCTCTTCTGTAACAGACAAAAGCGTTTCAGAGATAAAAAAGATAAAAATAACACTCTATTTACTATTATCGACTCTGAGGAACTTGAATGCTTACTTATAACTGAAATTCCAACCATTGTAATTGAGCCTCTTTACACTAATCCTGATTTAATTAATATCTATCCTAATCGAAGACCCTACCCAAGTCACATTAAGACTTTATGCCATGATATGGGAAGAATGGACCAAATCTGTAGACATTGCAAAGCTAAATTTTGGATGCTGGAAAAGGATCAGAATAGTGGTCTCGCTTCTCCAAGATTTCTCGTTTGCTATACCAATAGCAAAGTAAAATTGTCTCCTTTATTTCAACCACCCCCATGTTTACTAGAACTGTATACTTCAAATACACTTTTTGCCAGTAAATTTAGAAAAAATATTAGAGCCTATAACACAGTTTTAGCTTGCACATCCTTTGGTTCTAATGTAGATCAACAATTTTTAGAACAAGGTGTATCGAATTTTCATATTCATGGCCAAAACTATCATCTCATTAGTCCATTGTTATCAAAAGAAGGCAACCCTTCAGCATTTGCTCAAATATACATCTATGATACTGCACATGAAGTTGAAAATCGTCTTAATGTCATGGATGATTTGAATCCCGAAATTTTACAAATCTTACAAAATATACTCGATGAATACAACCCTTACATTCAAAAATTTCATTAAGTAAAAGATATTATTCAAGAAGATTCAGCCGCTACAATCTTGATGATAATTCATGGTCATAGAACTCATGACATCTGCCGCTATAACGCTCTAACATCCTCTGAAGTAGCTGCTATTATGGTCGGTGATGGTCATGAAATTAATCCAACAAGCTGAGATATTCTTCTTAAATTGCGCGATGGAAATTTACAGAGAATATCAGAATTTCATCCTTCATATGATCCACTTTACTATGTGCTATTATTCCCCAGAGGTGATGATGGTTGGCATATAAATATACCACTTATAGGTGCTGTAAAAAGAGAAAGAGTAACAACGATGCAATTTTATTTCTATAAATTGCAAATTAGAGATGGCGACTAGATACAATGCGCTAGCCATTTATATCAACAATATATTGTTGACCAATATGCCAAAATTGAGCAAAATCGCTTAATTTACCTTAAAACAAACCAAAAATCTCTTCGAACTGAATTATATCAAGGTGTTATAGACACTCTACATGCCGGTGATAGTAGTACCGATATCGGTCGTCATATAGTTCTTCTGTCGTCTTTTACTGGCGGATTACGTCAGATGTATCAACTATATCAAGATGCAATGACAATTATAACTCACTTTGGAAAACCTGATCTTTTCGTAACTTTCACCTGTAATCCTAAATGGCCAAAAGTCACCAGAGAATTATTACCTCATCAAGCTGCTTCTGACAGACCTGATTTAACAGCCCGAGTATTTCAGGTAAAACTACAATCATTATTAAAAGACCTATGCAATAACTATTGGCTTGAAAAAGTTATTGCATATGTATATATAGTAGAATTTCAAAAACGTGGTCTCTCCCATGCACATATCTTACTAATCCTCGCTCTTGAGGACAAACCACAATCAACTGATGATTATGATGCTATAGTTTTAGCAGAAATTCCAAATATTACATTAAATCCACTTGCTTACGAAACTGTCTTGGCTATGATGATGCATAGCCTATATAGTTCTTTGAATCCAAATGTGCCATGTATGAAAAATGGTGTTTGTAAAAAAGATTTTTCCAAAAATTTCTAAGAACGAACTATAGAAAATAATAGAGGATACCCTATTTACCGCAGGCAAGACACTAATCAATTTGTAGAGATTAGAGATAAACTACATAACCATGCACTGAAAGTACAATGACTCGCAGTCCATCTTCCAGGACATCAACATATTTCTTTTCAAGATAGAGAAGATCTCCAAGATATCATTAACTGTGCTAATAATCAAATGACCACTTTGACAGCTTGGTTTCAAGAGAATATAAATAATCCCACAGCATGTTAGCATATATATATCGACTTTCCCACTTACTATACTTGGATAGCTAAACGTAAGTGAGCCCCTAGACAAATATCTGCAACTATGCTTGCAAGACTTTACATGGTACAACCTTCGGAAGGAGAACGTTACTATCTCAGATATTTACTTACTCGCACAAAAGATGCAACTTGCTTCGATGACCTCAAAACCATAAACGGCCATCTCTGTGGAAGCTTCAAAGAAGCATGTTTCCTCCTAGATCTTCTTCAAGACGATGCAGAATAGGATATGTGTCTTCTTGATGCAAGTACAATACAAACAAGACACCAATTATGCCATTTATTTGCTACTATTCTTCTTTTTTGTCATCCTGTTAAACCTGAATTATTATGATCTACACATAAATTAGCTTTATGTGAAGATCTTTTATATTGAAATAATCAGCAATTACAAAATCAAGATTCTACTATAACTATCGCAATTGAACAAGAAGCCCTTACTCTATTAAATAATTTACTTTTACTAAATGGAAAATCATTAAAAGATTTTCCAAACATGCCAATTCCTCCTGAAAATTCATCGAATGTTTATAATGACGAAGATGCTTTAAATTAGCTAATATAAGAAGAAAGATCATATAATATCACAGAACTAGAACATGAATTAAACCAAAATCTATCTTTATTAAATGAGGACCAACATGCGATATTTAATGCTATTACACAAGCCATTGAACGTGAAGAAAGTCAATGTTTCTTCGTTAACGGCCCCAGTGGAACTGGTAAGACATTTTTATACAACACTTTATTATCCAGCATTAGATTACGTGGAAACATAGCTTTAGCAGTAGCATCTTCGGGAATTGCTGCTCTCTTATCAAAAGGCGGCTGAACAGCTTATAGTTATTTTAAAATCTCACTAAGACCTGATCAATCCTCAACATGCAACATCTCGAGAAATAGCAAAGAAGCCCATTTAATCAGCTTAACAAAGCTTTTTATTTGGGATGAAGCCCCAATGGTTAATAAATTTGCCTTTGAAGCACTTGACCTTATATTACAAGACATTCTTCAAGTTAATAAACCATTTGGTGGAAAAATCTTTGTATTTGGCGGCGATTTTCGTCAAGTATTGCCAGTTATACCTCATGGGTCCCGTGCTGAAGTCATTTCTGCTAGCTTACCCTGATCTTCTTTATAGCAACATCTAAAAGTAATGAAATTAATGATTAATATGAGACTTCGCCAAATAAACGACATAAATGAAAACTTAAAGCAGAAAGAATTTGCTGAATTCCTTCTACAAATAGGTAATGGAAGATATCCAGTCATCCCCGGTACTGAAAATAAAATAGAACTCCCTTCAAATATAGTAATAGCTGGTCAAAAATTATCAGATCTGATTGATTTTACCTATCCGGATTTTACCCAACATTCTACCGATATGAATTATCTAATTAAAAGAACTATATTAACTCCAAAAAATGACGATGCGAGTAAAATTTCAGATATTATGATAAATCAATTTCCCGGTGAACTTTATACCTATTGTCATGGGCTAAAAGGTAGATCGACGAAATCGGCGCAGCAAACTCATAACTTTAAGCAGATCAATCATTGGAATTCCAGATCGACTAGTGCATGAGGCTTACTGGCTAAATAATGGAATGATAACCAACATGAAATCTGAAGAAGAATTCCAAGAAGAACAAATAAAGATCTAAAGAGAAGAAAACAAGAATTAAGAAATAATTAGAATTAGTTAAAATAGAAATTGTTGTAAAGGCAAAGTCTTATTATTATAATCAATGTTGTACTTATCGTTGTAAGCCTCTTTAGTTATAGTGATTCTTCCTCGATCTTTTGTGATGAAAGATCTGATTTATCTAATTTGTCTCAAAGCCTCTTGAGATCGGTAGATTAGTAAAAGTTATAAAAACCCTGTAATTTCTCTCTTGTAAAGTAAGGTCTTTTGGGATTGTAATATTTCCTACACAATACATTCAATAAATCACTTTAATAATATTGTTTTAAAACTAAACTATTGCTAAATCACCATCGTCACGCCTCTGGTGAGTTGCCTTATCATTTAAAACTATCTATTTTCATATTTTTCATATCAAAGGATACAAATCACCCCATAACATTTGGTGGTGACTGTGAAATACCGACTTCATAAAATAACCTAAAATTTTGAGAACAAAAATGAATCAAAAACAATTCAAACAGTTCATAAAAGTAATGACTAAATCGGTTAGTAAAGAAGAATCAAAGATACCTAAAAAAAATAATCTGGTAAAAGTAAAATCTTTCTATGTCACCGACGATAAAGATCCTTTCGAATGGTTTGATAAATTTGAAAGAGCATCCAGAGCTAACAATTGGACTGAAGATCGTAAGATGGAAATTGCTTCAAGTTATCTAAAAAAAACAGTGGCTGAATGGTATAAAGAAAATAAAGAATACATAAGCTTTTGGAAAACAAAAAATAAAAATGAAGAAGATAAAAGCTTTTACCATTTATTTATTGAAGAGTTCGCTCCTGAGAAACGTCAACATCATTGGCAAATCTAGTTATATGAGTTGCTCAAAAAGAAAATGAAAAATTAGATACTTATATGACTAAGTTTAAAAAATTACTAAGTAGAGTTAATATTAGTAATAAATTTTCTGATGCATATGTCGCAAGGATGTTTCTAAATGGTTTAAAGGGTAATAATGCCACTTTCGTAGCTGTAGCCGCTTCTAAAGATTTAGCTAACGCAATAGCTGCAGCAAAAAGGGTAGAAAATGGGAGTTGTAATAATCAACAATCATTCAAAAAAGATTTCACACAGAAACAAATGGGGAATGAGATAAACAACTTAAAGAAAACTATCGAAGGTTTAGCATTAAATTATGCAACCTTATCTGCCCAATTAAAGGATACAAGGACTTATCGTCCAAGAGAAAACTTTTACAGAGAACACCTACAAAATAGATATAGATGGGAAAGGAATGAAGGACTTAAATGTGGTAAATGTGGTGAAGTAGGTCATGTAGCTAGAAAGTGTATATCTGAAAAAGAATACACTTATCGAAACCAACAAAATAGTGGGAATAATAATCAAACAAAAACTATTAGTTTTTGTGAAATAGAGGATAAGTCTAAGAAAGAAATATATACAATAAATAATGAACCTACTCTAAAGAAAATAGCAAAACGTCCAGCAAATCCAAAGTGGGAGGAAAGATTGTACAAGACAGTTAGAGTGCCTCAAGAACAACTAGAAGAAGAACAAAATATGAAAATTGAAGAATCAGCTATTATAAAAAAAACACTTCCTCAAGTAAAGCCGAAAAGAAAACAGGGACCTTTGAAAGTTAATTCTTTATAACCATATAATGTCGTGGATAATATTTTGGCTCTTCCTACAAGTACTACCGTGGGACAGATTCTTCAATACCCTAATCAAAGAAAAAATTTGGCTAGTATATTAAAAAGAACATCACTAACAAAAGAAGTAAAATTTATCAAAGAATATTATCGTACAACTG